AGATGGCAGCATGGGGCAGCGGCGGTGGCAGCAGCAACAGAGCAGAAGCCGGAGTGTGAGCAGGGGAACGAGAAAGGAGAAGGGGGTTGTAGAAAGAAGAGGAAAAAAGAGGTGGAGGTCAGGCATATGGAGAGCCTGGTTAAGGGGCCCCCTCTGAGGGAGTGTGTATTTGCGTGTGGTGAATAGAGGGGGAGAGACAGAATACAATAGAAATCCATTAAGCCCAAAATTTCCCTCTAATAGACAGAAAAGGAGAGAGAGACAGGCAGACAGATAAGAAGGTTGAAATGTAGGAAGATGTGAAAATTGTTTCTTTGAAGTTATTTTCTTTTGTGTGGCTGCCTCCGTTAAAGCTGCTTGTGCTCCACAGTCATCAGAATTAATGTTCATTTTATTTATATCTGATCTTAAACATATGCGATTACTAATTTTTTGTCAATTATTGTGTAAATTCAAGACTTGCCGCTGTATCGTTAGTGGATTGCACAAGAGCATTATCTGGAAAACATGCAATGTTATTATTATTACCTGCCATTAAAAGGTGAAAAGTGGGAGATAATATTTGTTTTTGCTTTTGTTTGCGTGTGTGAGAATGTTTGTCTTGTGTATCTTATGATCAACTGGATGGGTTTAATTGAAACGTTCATAAATTAATTAGGGATGCACGATATTGGCTTTTTAGCCGATATCCGATATGTTAAAACTTATTTGGTCGATAACCGATACCGATATTTTCCCCTTAGACCTACTTACAGAGACTACATAGCTTTCTCTGCTGTGGAATTAAAATACAACATTATTCTGCACGGTCTTTGACATTTTGGCCTGCTACCCAATGCAGATGCCAAAAAGAGTTGAAAATGATGCAACACTATATAAATATATAATATATATAATAAAACACCGCCTTTTATATCCGTGAGTTACTTTGATGGAATGGCCGATGCCCGATATTTAACTTTATCGCCAATATTGGCCGATACCGTGCCGATAATATTGTGCATCCCTAAAATTAATCATTAGAAGCACAAGATTGTCACCCCAGCTAACAAACCTTCGACATAACACAACAAGGCTATAACTCAGTTGAATTTACAGATGTTGAGCTAAATTTTGTTGTTAGCAGCTGAGACTCATTCGTAACGCATTTTCCAAGCTTTCACTGGCCATGAGAGATCTTTGTTTAAAACTTTACCATCAACTAATGGAGTCCACTTTGTGCATTTGTTAGCAAATTAACTCCACTGAATGCACTTTAATGAAACATGCAGAACGATATCTTTGGATGCACATCTACAACTGATTAGTGTTCAAGTGAATCAAGATGGCCGCCAATGCTAAATAACAGTAAACTAAAAATTGGCTATAATAAGGTTTTAATTTTGTCATTTGTCAACATAAGCTGACTTTAGTTTGACACTCTGACATTAAATGCTGTGAGCAATATGTTTAAGTAGTTGCTTGCAAATGTAATATTATGATAACAATAGTTTTTCAACATATGATCCACCCCAGATTGTAACAAAGTACAACACATTAATTTCAATAGGCTTAAAGAGTCATTGATGACACATTTATTTCATTATAAATTAAATGACACAGTATGTTTTATTATGAAGGATGCAACAAAGAAGATAAAAGAACAGAAAGGTAAAATGTCCTTGTTTTAATGGGAGTCTTGTGTTCCTGTCATCTGTGTAGTACCTGGGGAGTCATTGTGTTGGCGCGTCGTGTCGGGGGACAGACCCACGTACGGACATTAACAGGATATGATGGGCTCCCCTTCTCTGTCTCCAGCTGACATCACACACATGCTGAACATCCTCTCACACACAGCCCTTTGTTCCGGCTCGCTGTGTGTTTTTGGAAGATGAATGTGTGAGTTTTAATGGATCGGATCCCGGGTCAACTGCTGCATCACTCCTCCAGACACGCATGGCCTCGTGCGCGCAATAAACACGCAGTAATCGGTTTGATGCCTTCGCGTTAGCGCGTTTTTCTCATACAGAAACGCAGCACAAATCATTGTCGAGCGCTGATTGCAGTTAGAGAGAGTGTTTTCCTGGTTATCTGTCCGCTTCCCTGGACGTGCCAAATGTGGCTTTTAATCCATTTCACTATCTGTGGGGAGAGATAAGCCGGAGCTTTTTCAGGAGTCCAGGCCAGGCTGTGTGCTGCTTTTAGTTCGCACACATGCGTGTGTGTGTGTTAGTGGGTGCATCCCAGAGCCTGACACTAAACACACACTTATCTTGTCTTGACAGCCCCTCTGCTTGGTGGTCCTACTGGCTATGTTCATGTGCGCCGTTGCTTGGTGGTCCCCCAACGGTATTTGGGATTATGTGTTAGTCAAGTGCATACAGAAAGCAAATTAATGCTGCCACAGCCGCCCCAAGTGTGCGTGCACGTAATACGTGCACAAGTGTATGCGTGTGTGTTCAGTGGTAGTCCTTTTGATGTGATCTTTTTTTATCCCTGTCAGAGATGGCGGTTGGTGACCTGAGGGACTTGATGAGCTCATAAAATAGAAGTGTGTGTGTGCGCCTGTTTGTCAGTGAGTGTGTGTGTGTCGCCTCGTGCTTACCCACAGAGAGCAATCCTTGACTGATTTATGAATATGTATGAACGTGAAATGATCACCTCTGCTGTGGCCTGACCGAACTGTCACGGTGGACTGTTTCAGGTGTCTGTCATTCAGGTTTGAAATACCCAGACTTTTATTTTGGCGTCTTGTTGTGCAGCTTTGGGGTGTATGAATTAGGAATGCTTTAAGGGGCGTTTTCCTTTAGTGGATGGGGGGATGGGACTTGTGAATGTGTTTGTGTGCGTGTGAGCATGGGGAGGGGTGTGTGTATGTGTGAGTGATTTAGCACCGCGGCAACACCAGCTGTCCATCTGTGTCTGACCCCCCATACACACTTAAAACGCACACACCACCACACACACGTCTTTGCATCAGACCACTGATCTGCTCTTCAGTATCGCTCAAATCTTAGGAAAATCCAGTCAAAACACAATCTGTTCTGATGTCTTCCACCCACTACGCACACGCAACACTCCAGACGGTTTGACTTTGACTTTAATTCATTTTCTGAACATGCACCCTAACCGCATAGTAAGAGCTAATCTGAGTCCCTAATTTACCTCATCCTAATCTAATTTTAAACCCAATCTGCCCCGCTGATTAGGAAGATTTTGAGTACGAAGACCGAAAGTGAGACAAATCCCTATAAATTGAAGCTGAGACTGATTTATGTTTCTAAAACATGACTAAATACAAACACACACACATTTAATGAACTAACGAGCTGTGCTGCGGTGATCTAACAGCCGCTCGTTTACCATCGTGAGCACGTACACTAACACATTCGCACAAAGAAGCGCCGAAGGGCAGTCGAAGACGAGATGCACTTTGACCCTGCTGGACATTCAAAAGCTGAGGTGATAGTTGATCTGCAGTTGTGCAAGCCTCAGTGTGTGTGTGTGAGCCTGCTGTATGGTTTGTGTGAACAGGTCAGGGTCGAGACAACTGGAGTCTGGCCTTTGCTTTCTTCCCCTCGGGGCTGGATTGGGTGCCTGTGC